ACCACCACCACCACCGTCATCAATAACACCAGGACCAGCGTCACCACCACCACGGCCACCACCCCCACCGTCATCAATAACACCAGGACCAGCGCCACCACCACCCCGACCACCACCACCACCGCCATCAATAACACCAGGACCAGCGCCACCACCACCCCGACCACCACCACCACCGCCATCAATAACACCAGGACCAGCGTCACCACCACCACGGCCACCACCCCCACCGTCATCAATAACACCAGGACCAGCATCACCACCACCACGACCACCGTCATCAATAACACCAGGACCAGCATCATCACCACCACGACCACCGTCATCAATAACACCAGGACCAGCATCATCACCACCACGACCACCACCCCCACCGTCATCAGTAACACCAGGACCAGCGTCACCACCACGACCACCACCCCCACCGTCATCAATAACACCAGGACCAGCGTCACCACCACGACCACCACCCCCACTGTCATCAATAACACTATCACCATCACCACCACCAGTGCCAATACCACCATCCTTACTGTCACGGTACCACTAACAACCCCATCATCATTATCCTTCTCATCAACACAAAACCCTCTATTAAGGGTATATTGTGCTCCAAGCCTTGTGCTCGGCGCTTTTATCTCATTTCATTTTTACCATAACTATGAGACAGGTACGTTTTTTTCAGGTGTACAACAAAATGATTCAGTTGTTGTTTTTCAGATTATATTCCATTATAGGTTATTATACTGAATATAACTCCTTGTGCTATATAGTAAATCCTTGTTGCTTATCTATTTTATGTATAGTAGTTTGTATCTGTTAATCCCATACTCCTATGTGTCCCTCCCTCCCTCTCCCTTTTAGTAACCATAAGTTTGTTTTCTATGTCTGTGAGTCCGTTTCTGTTTTGTATATAGATTCATCTGTATTATTTTTCGGTTCCACATATAAGTGATTACCATACAGTATTTACATATGGTTTCTGACTCTGGTTTACACAAGAGGAAACTGAGGCACAGAGAAGTTAAATAACCTGCCCCCAAATCATACACTTAGGTAATGACAGTCAGGAATTAAACTCACATCTGTCTTATTTCCACGTCTGTAGTTTGAAAACTATATTCTCCTTCAAATTCCTCCAGCCCCCGAACTGGTAAGCATAAAAAAGTTACTCTTTTGACCGATGGAAAGACCAAGGTTCAGAGAGGTAGAGAGGCTCTGAGACAAATGTAGTAGAGAGGCGGAGTGTTTAAAAGCTGAAGCCCAGAGAAGTCTGGCCCCAGGCAGAGCAGTAGAGATACAGAGGGGGCTTTAAAGGGGGGAGAACTTAAAGGAAATGAAAGGACAGAGTGTTTTTTTTAATGAAGGTAAAACATATGCCTAAAAGGAATTTCATCAGATATATACTCTAAGATTCCAGTAACGTGAAGTTCAAAAATAAGCAAAACCAGTATCTTGGTGGTGTGGGTACTGCCTGCCATGGAGAAGGGAAGGCCTCTCTGGGGAGCTGGAAAGGTCCCCACCCTGATCTGGGTTTCGCGAGTGGACACAAACACAAAAACTGATCAAGCCTAATGCTTAAGATTAGCATGTGAGCTTAATCTCAACAGGAAAAACTTTAACTGCATGTGTAATATCTCATTTCTTAAGTTGGGCAGTATGCACATGGGCAGTTGTTTTATTTTCTTTAAGTCCCTCTGTGTCTGCCTGATGTATTTATAGTAAATACTACTGCTACTGCTATGGGTTGGCCAAAAATTTCGTTTGGGTTTTTCCGTAACATCTTACGGAAAAACCCGAACAAGGTTTTTGGCCACAGCCCAATGCTACGCCTCAGTATTTAAAATACAAAATCACACGCTTGGCCTGCTTCACCCACTTATCGCACCTGTCTGGTTCCCATCGGTGTGTGAGTTTGTGACTCTTGATTTCAGTCTAGCTCTTGTTTCACAGATGGGGCAACTCTGGCACATATAGCAAGCAGGTGTTGAACCCTGGTCACCTGACTCAGCCACCATAAACATTTAGGGAGCATCTACTGTGTGCTGGGCACTTGAGGGGTGCACCAGGGTAAATAAGGTGAGCACGGGCCCGCCTTCACGAAGGTCACCAGTCCTGCACGTGATCTCAGTGTTGATATTCCACTCATCTAGGTGGTCCTCATTCTCGTCGTACGTGCCAATACACGTAAAGTGCTTAAAACAGAGCCTGTCACGCAGTAAGTGCCAGTGGTGGGTCGCAGCAGGCTTGCGTGGGCTTACGAGAGGCAACAGTGCTGATCTCTTGCTACTTGTGTTGAGTGACAGCCACTTGGAAAGCCAGAAATCTGCTATGGTGAGAATATTTACGCCTCAGGAATTGGCAAGTGCTACAAATCAGAGGGTGTATTTTTGCGGAGAGCCAGTTGTGAATTATTTACCGGCTGGTGAGCGATCATAAACATTTTGCCTTTGTTATTATTATTGTAGAGCCTGCAGGGGCGGCTGGAGGAGTAAACGGCAGCATCAGGCTGACCCGGGTCCCTCTTCAATTCCTTGTAGGCAAGTGGCTTCTGTCTCTGAGATTCCATTTCCTCTACTGAAAAAATGGAGTCTAATTCCCACCTCATAGGGGTGTGTGTGTGTGTGTGTGTGTGTGTGTGTGTGTGTGTGTGTGCGCGCGTGCGTGTGCGCGCGCGCGCAAATCAAGGCTGGAAGGTGTCTGATCCAATGCCCGATTCACAGCAGGCATCCATTAAATGTCAGCTGTCATCTCTCACTCTCTTATGCTGGGGACAAATGTGACAGTAGCTGGAGCAGAACCTTGGCCCTGACCATCTACCTTGTGCTGGCGCTCAGAGGTGAACCCTCAGAAAGCAGAGGAGCCATCCAGGGCCTGCTTTGGCCTGGCAGTGCCTGCACCAGCAGCTCTGTTTCTGTAGCCCTCACCACAGAAGGGGCAAGGGTACAGCAGAGGCCAGCTTTTCTGCCTGATTCCTGGAAATCATCAATCTCTGCCCTTCGCCCTCCTCCCTTTTTCTAGCACATTTTTTCCTCCTGGATAATGAGGCCTCCGGAGACCAGTGGAGGTCTGAACCTCGTTATGGCTCTCTGGGTAGGCCGGCATCAATAAAGGCCGGCGGACCAGGGAACTGGGTGGGGGGCTGGAGCAGGCAGGCAGCGGGTGGGCGACTGACGAGGGGGGAGCTTTGTAGACTTTCAAATCCCTAGATTTATTTCACAGTGAATTATAACCGAACTCTTTAGTGCCTGGGGCTCACAGAGGGAAGGGTGGGAATTCACCCGGGGGCAGCGAGGAAAGGCCTGAGGGGGAGACGGGTCGGGGAACCCGGTGTGGGTCCCAGGCACGTGGGATGTGAGCGAGGTCTCCTGTGCTCTGTGTAGAGTGTAGGTCCCTGCCTTTGCTGGGTGGAAGTCAGCGTGGAGTAGAGGCAGGGCGGGATGGAGTGCAAGGAGCTCCCGGTTAAGATCCTGGCTCTGCTCCCCGGGGTGACCTGGCCCAGTCCCCTCCCTCTCTGAGCCTCAGTTTCTCCATCTGTGCAATGAGGGGCGTGTATCTGACGAGCTCCAACTTCCCTGAGACTCTGACATACAGCCTCCGTGCGTGTGCCCGGGCGTGTACAGCCCATCAGAGTATGTGGGGTGCTCAGTGAGGTGAGGGAAGCAGGGTGCGCAGGGTGCGCTCGTGCAGGTCCGGGAGAGTCAGGCAGAGAGACAGACAGAGAGAGACAGAGAGAACAGTGGGGATGGAGGGAAAGAACGTGGGCAGGAGGGAGGCAGAGCCAGGTCACAGAGGTATCAGGAGAAGGGAGAGAAAGAGCGTGAAGAAAGAGGCAGGAGAAGGAATGAAGCTGGAGATGGGCAGAGAGCGGGAGGGGGCAGGACGAGGAAGGAGGGGCGGAGAGCCCTGGGGCGCACGGGGGCGCAGGGGGCTGCTGGCCAGGCCCAGCGCCAGGCCCACAGGTGCAGAGCGCTGCGTTAAGCCCTCACAGCCGTGCTCTCGGCTCATCGGGGAAACAGTGCGCCCGGCCTCGGGATCTGCAGCGGGCGGGCAGACGGCAAGGCCTCCAGCGCCCCGGCAGAAAGGCTGAACCCGCCCTGCAGCCCTGCCTCTCTCACTTCCTCCAGCGTGAGGGGCCAGTGCCCAGAGCTGGCACATGAGGCCTGGGATCGTGCTGCCCCGGAGGACAAGAGTGGGGTCCCGACTGATCGGGTGACACGCAGGAATGTGGGAGCGGCCAGCCCCAATGTGAACATGGCCTTCCAGCAGCCTGGCACCGTGGGAAGAGCACAGCCCTTGGATGCAGGCTTGGGGTCGAGCCCTCACCCTGGGCCATCGCCCGCTCCTGAGGTCTCAGTGTCCACAAGGGGAGAATGCAGACAGTGGCCCTCACTCCACATAATCCTGGGAGACCAGTGGAGGTCTGAACGCCGTTCACACCTCGTATGCTAAGCTCCGGGTGCACAAACACGGTAGGTGCTTCGTACACAACTGGTGTTACTAGTTCCCCGTATCACATATTAATCGCTTTCCACCAAATAAGCAAGGCACGAGAAAGATACCAGAAGCCTAGGCTATGGAATATCCCAGAGCTTATATCAGAGAAGCCAAGAGCACTGTCCTGGCCAGTGAGGGCTCTCCAGTCAGGCAGACACAGGTTTGTGACCTGACTCTGCTCTTTCTACCTAGGTGTTCTTGGGGCCTCAGTTTCCTCATCTGTAAACTAGGCACCTTAGTCCTCTAACTCCTAGGCTGTCATCAGGATTCAGCGGGACAGCACATAGAAGATCCGTAGCACAGGGCCTGTCAGAGGGAAGGTATTAAACACTTAAGGGCTGGAAAAATGATGGTGGACAAGTCTTCACTCCACAGAGCAGATGTGACCGTTAGATGCTTTCACGTATGTAGAGGGACTCATGCAGGACCAGAGCGTATAAGTGGTCAACAAGGTCATTTCCCTCCCTGAGCCGCAGGTGGGTGGCCCCAGTCACTCACCTCCACCCGCGTGGGGTTCATCCAGTGGGGGATGTCACGGACGGTCACGTTCACTGGCAGGATGATGGACTCGCTGTTGTGGTCCAGGCATGAGGTGGCACACTCTGACCCTGAGGGGAAGCCGAGAGTGAGGTGGTGGCTCAGCCCCCGTCTCCTGATGCCAGGGGCTGCCCCACCCCCAGAGTGGACCCTGCCGCTGGCTGGTCCCCCCAGTGAGTGGGGACGCCCACCCTCAAGGGCAGTGGGCAGGAGTGAACGCCCCAGCAGCGCCACCTCTGGTCTCCCTGACCGCTCTCTTGTCTCCAGTCCAGCTGGCGCGCACCACCACGCTCAGCAGCCCTCAGCCCAGGTTGGTCCTGCTCCTCCTCTGCTCAGAAACCTTTCGAAGGTTCCCCACATCCAGGACAAAGTCCAGATCCCTTTGCTCGGCATCCATGGCCTCCCACGGTCTGGTCAACCTCATCTCCCACTAACCATCTTCACACCCTCCCACTAACCGGACTGTGCTTGGTTTCACATGGGAGTCCCACACGTCCTCGCCTCTGTATTTCTGTTCCTGTCCATCCTGTCTCCTGAATCGTCCCCCCCGATCTGCCTTTGCATATGGTCAAATCCTACCAGTTCTTCAAAGTCCAGCTCAAATCCTCCAAGAAGCCTGCCCTGATTTCCGCAGCTGAGTGAGAGCAGTGTTTGGCACTGAGGAATCTCACTCCAGTGTTGGGCTTACCCCCTGTCCCTCCTTTCCCCAGTAACAGGGATGCCCTGGGAGGGCAGCGATGGGATCAGTTCTTCTCTGAGCCTAACCCGGTGCCTGACACACAGGGTCTGCTCAGCAGGCATCAACCAAATGAATGGTGAGCCTGTGAGGGCAACGTCAACGTCTCAGCCCCACACCTTCTCCTCCCACACCGCCTGCATCCGTGCCCTCCTCTGTGCCCTCAAGACCATCCCCGCCCCTCTTCAACTAGCGTATGACCAGTTAATGACCCTTCAGACCTCAATCCACGTGTTGCTTGCTCGGAGAAAACCTCCATTCCTGACGGGCCAAACCCTCTCACTGGCACCCATCACAGATTTGTCACATTGGCTTGGTGACTGCTGTACCAATAGCTCTCTTCCCTGCTCGACTGTAACTCCACGAGGCCAGCACTGCCTGCGCTCCCCCTTCTATGCCCAGAGCCTGGCACTGTGCGTGGCGGATGGCAGGCACTCAGTGAGCATCTGTGAAGTGAGTGAAAGGGACGAGAGTGAACGGGTGCATAGGTGGTTGAGGAAATGAGAGAGTGAATGAATGAATGGATGACTGGCACAATGAGTGAATGACGAACGAGGCATCTCATGGTGGAGGAAGTGGGTACCTAGATGGATGAGTGAATGAATAAATGACTGAGTAAGTGGATAAAGGGATGAAAACATGAATCAGGCAGTGAGACGGTGAAGGTGCCATGACCAACAGGGACAGGGTTAGTACACAGAAGCCCTTGGTCCAGGGACTTCCTCAGCTGACTTTCAAGCTGTGCGTTAGCAAGATGACTGTAATTTGACTCATACATTCTCTGTCCTGACCTCACCTAAAAATCACGCTCAACCCATGGGATGTCCCCAGGACTCCAAAAACAGTGCTCATTCATATGGACAAAGAACTGACGTGTCAGAATCTGACCAGGGCCCTAAGGAGGTCATTCCCCTGCCTTAGTGCCAAGACCACCCTTGAACACTAAATGGTTTACAGGAGTCAACTCTCTTGAAAAATATCCTGTGCTGTGAGCCATTCTAAAGGCTCCCTTCCAAACGTGTGTGTATACACACAGTATGTATATATGTTTATGCATACATGCAGCTATACGTACACAGACACTTGCATATGTATGTATAGTTTATCCAGTGCCCTTCCTGTTGCCACCCTGTCATACTCTTCAATCTAAGAGACTCACAGAATCTTAAGAGGTAGCAAGGGTGGGGTGGCGGGTCCAGGACAACCTCTGGAACCTCTTTAATTTAAACATGGGGCCACTGAGCCCAGAAGGTGGGGATGGGGGTATTCCCGGTCTTGCCAGGTGGTTTTCACCCGTCACTCGTTCCCCTGCACACCCAGTGTCATCGCATGCGTCTCAGAGGCGACAGCGTGCAGTGTGCGAGCTCGGGTCACAGAGCTGGCGAGTAGGGGGCCGTGAATGAAAGCCCGCGCCTCTCTGAGCTCCAAGCCCAGCGATGGACACGGCGGAGACACAGAGGGAAGAGAAAAGAAGGCAGCAGTGGAAGGGGACAGAGATGGGTGAAGGGTCAGAAGAAAGAAAAGAAACGGGGGACACACAGAAAGACAAAAAAGGTGAGTGATGAGACGAGGGATCCCTAAGCAGTCAGAGAGACTCAGCGGTGTGTGTCTGTCACGAGGTCGGTTCTAAAGATTTTAGGGAGCAAAGATGAAACAAGGCTGCGATGGTAAAATCCTTTTGAGAAAAGAAGACGCAGCCTCTGAGGAGTAGACAACGGTTATTTATCCCAAAAGGGGAAAAAGAGATCTGGTCAACACAGGAGGCCACCGCCGCCTTGCGCAGCAGCCACATCATCTTAATTTCCCTTTCCCCGCACCTCTGCCTCGGCACTTCCCTCCCCCGTGCTGCGGCTCTGGGCCTCAGGACCAGGCTGCTGTGTTGTGATACATGAGCCCTAATCGGCATCACTACAGAGTGGTGATCTCAGCGGCCCCCGCCTCCCCTTCCCCGGAGGAGCAGGGACGGTGGCAGCGGCCTTGGTGGCAGTAACAACTTTCTGAGGACCCCTCACTGCCACAGAAGCCTCCCCAGGCTGCTCGGGGAGGGACCCTGGAAGAGCTGCTCTGGGTGGCTCCAGCACGTGGCCCCCAGCCACCAAGCTGGACACAGACGTCACCCCTGCCCTGCTTACCAGGCCCTTGGTCGAGTCCCTCTCCTTGGTGAGGTGGGATCTCCCCAGGGAGGGGCTCAGTAGGAGGGAGAGCAGCCAGGGGAGTGGGGGACAGAAGCCCCTCCCCTCCGTCCTCCGGCCGCCCCGCTCAGTGCCCGAGGCCGCTTTTACTCTCTCAGCTCTCCCCGTGTGCTCTCACCTGCCCACCGCCCATCCCGGGTCACCGTATTCATAAAACTGGCATCTGCATGGCCGTGGGAGCATGAGGAAGGGAAGGAGATTCAGGTTCCGATGTCAGACAGCTTGCTTTCCCTTTCTGCTCTGACCATGAAAAAGCAAGCTCAGTGGGTAAAGCAAATGCTACCGTCACCCTCTCCCCCTACCTCTTGACCATTCTGTGGGCCAGCAGAGAGCCAGGCATTCTGGCTCATTTTCATGTGCCTATGACAGGTACACACAATACAGGTGCAAAGGGGCCACGAGGTGTGTTTGTGTATGTGTGTGTGAGCTACACGTAGGTTTATGGGTGGCGAATGTGTGTGGTGTCTCGCTGAAGTGTACGTGACAGGCATGGGCTCACCACATGATGTGTGTGTCTGCATCTGGTTGTTAAGCATTTGTGCACATATGAATATATGTGCTTGAACGTGTCAGTGGATGCAGACATGCAGGAGGTCTGTTTTTCATCAGAATTTTTTCTCCCAGGGCTGCTCAAGGCCAGTCGTGAGTGTGACGGAGTATTCACGTGCATGCCCTGACTGAGCTGGGGAGAGGGACCCCATCACAGACAGAAGTGTCCAAAGCCATGGACACCCCTCAGGGATAATGGGGAGGAGAAAGCCTTGGCCTTGGGATGGAAGAGCCAAAGCTACTTGCCATTGCTACACCTGTTGCCCCAACTCTCTAGAAAGCTTATACGGGCAGGCCCTACAAATCCCACCTCTCTGCAACCCTCCTGGTCAGGGTCCTTTGGATTGGTGGCTCGACAAGATCTTAAAGTACCTCTGGAGTCAGCAGGGACAGCAACCATGTCCATGGGTGTTTTCTGACCCGTCCTGGACTGACACAGGAGGGTTGATCCCTACTCTAAGTTCAGGTGAAGAACCTCTGCACTTGGAGGCTACATGTTTCCATCTTTAAAAGGAAGTGGCCAGGCCCCCTCACGCCTCTGCTCTCCAGCCGTGGGCCTCCCTTCTGGACATGAAACGATAACTCGTTTTACTAGGTGAGGAACACATTGACTGTGTGTGGCTGGGAGTGAGTGTCTGCACAGATAACCTTCTGCTCCAGACATCCCTGGTGATTGTCCCAGGATTGGCCATGAGAAAGGACATCCAATTCCCTGGGCTTTTCATCATGGTCAATTAGGGAATCAGCCCAAGGGGTCAGTATCACTGCCCTCAACTGAGATTAGACTCAATGCACACCCAGCTCCCCAGAAAGCCACGGGCCTGTGATTAATGCGTCTGTCCAGACACCTGCTTTCAACCAGGCAAACTCCTGGCATCAAACCCCAGGTTGTGTCCCTTCACTTGGCAAGCTGGCCTATCACCACGCAAATAGTATTCTGAAAACACTATTCATCCTTATTTAGGAGGCAACTGGAATGCCATGGAAAGGACTCAGGCTTTGGAGAAGGAGAGGTTGCAAAGATCCCTTGGAGTCTCGATTTCCTCATCCATTAAAGGTTACTGAGAGGATACGAGATAACGCCCCTCAAGTGCTTGGTGCGGCACTGACCCACAGTCGGTACTACGAATGATCAGCGTTACATACACTTTAAGGTTAATAACAAAGGCTGCCACGCTGGACCACTGCTTCCCTAAACAGGATATGTGTTTTCATCCCTCCCTCCCTTTGCCACATGATTCCCTCTGCCTGGAATGCCATTTCTTGCCCCACAAGCTCTTGCAAATCCCTGTATAAGCATCCCTTCCTCTGGGAGCCTTCTGTGTCCCCGGAGGCACCGGTCGGCTGTTCTGTACTCCAGTGCAACTGTGCACGCTCACCCAACACTGCTTTGCCCGCATCCATGCCCTGAACTCTCCCTCTGGGAGGACAGGGTCTGGTCTCGCTCCCCTTCGTTTCCCCAGTGCCTCAGGCAAGGTGTCACACGGCACGGCCGCCCGAGTCCTCGGCAGGGCGTGCGCCCCGAGCTCCTGGAAGGACGCGCCCTCCCGCCGCTCAGCCCGGCGCGCGTGTCGTACCGATGGCGTAGCCCGCGGGGCACTGCAGCTTCAGATTGCTGTCGAACTGGTCCGGGGCTGAGCACTGGCCTTGCATCTCCTGGCAGACGCGGAAGGAGCCGCTCCAGGTGCCATCTTTCCGGCAGTGGATGACGTTGCTCCCGGGCCCCTGAACGCCACAGAAGCACAGTCAGGACCAAGAGAGACCCCACCCTCCACAGAAGAAGCCTCTGAGTGTTGCATCTCCCCAGAGCTCTGAAAATGTTAAAAAAACAAAGTTCTTAACAGTGGTGGAAACCCGACCACCCTCAGACAGAGGAACTGTAATATCTCCATTTTACAGACAGGGAAACTGAGGACTCAGTGTGGGAACAAACTTGCTCAAAGCATCCTGGAGAGTTTAACTCCCAGGTTTCCTAAATCTTAGCAGTGCTCTTTCAGACATTTCAATCGGAGAAATTTGTTCTGCTTGTTTTTTTTTTTAACTGAGAACGTGGGGCCCACGTGCACCCGCAACGTGTACCGTGAGTAAACATGGGTGCTGGAGCTGTTTGGAAGGAGACAGGCTCGTTTCCTCTCAATCGATGAGAAAGCGTCCCAGGCCAGGGCTCTGCCACGTTGCTAGGTAGGCAACCTTGGCTCCGCTGAGGAGGTTTCTCTTCCAGGGCTTCCCGCCTCTCCTTCCCCTTCCCTTCCTCCCTTCTGCTCCACTCCACTCCAGCAATAATGGCACCAAGAGGGTGGTGGGGGGACACTTCCATCTGTGCCCTCCCCTCTGATTCTTTTAAATAGGCAACATTTCCCATTTCTCAATCTTCTGCAAAGTCACGGGCAAGTGCAGCCTGCAGACGTGGTCCTTCCTCCAAACCGCTTTGCACATCTAAGATTCTAACGGGAGGTGTCCAGCTTTGTCGAAATTCCAGAACCACCCCTAAATCCAAAGACCGCTGCTTAGTGTCCACTCTGGGTTCAGGACCGTGCTCAGTGATGCGAGAATAACCGGATGGGAGGGGCAAGCCGGGAAGGCCTCTGAGAGGAGGTGACATACGGAAAAGAGTTTTCAAGATACTGTGTGAAATCAGGCAGAACAGGGAGGGAAGGACATCTGTGGAAGGCCAGAGGGCACGTGCGAGCCCGAGAGGGAGGGAGCCGGGAAGAGCTGGTACGGCAGGTAAGGTGTGGAGCCTTAAACAGCCACTTATGGAGTCTGGACTCTATGCCTTGGAACTGGAGAACCACGGGCAGTCTCTGCACAGTGGGGCCTCCTGTGTGAGAACAAGCTGTAGAGCGTCTCCCTCTTTCACGTTTAGGATGAGAAGAGAAACTCTACGTGAGGCCAGAGCAGCTGACCACGCTCCACCGATGAAAATGTCTGCGGAATGGCTCCCATGCCCTTCAGCTGCCACTCACGCCCCTGCGTCTGGCCTCCAGAGCCCTCAGAGCCTTAACTCTGCCTGATTCTCCAGCTCCCCGCTGCCCGCGGCACTACCGCTAACCTTGAACTCCATCAACTGCCTGCATTCTTGAATGCACCACGCGAGGTGTCACACGGCCGTGCTTCTCCTTCTGTCTGCTCTGTCCCTCCCCCCTGCCCTCCTGCCCAAACACCGGCACAGAGCCATCTTCTCTGGCACAAGCCATCCTGTCCTAACGCCACCCCGGTCCTGCAGAGAACACTACCTGAAGGTCTCTGACACCCACTGCCTCTTTATCCCCACTGCTCCCTCCTAGACGATGAGCTCCTTAGTCATCCCTGCATCCCCAGGGCCTTCCACAACACTTAACAGGTCCTGGCCTTTGGTCCATTCGTTCGTCACTCAGTAGTTTCGTTCACTCAAGAACTGTTTAACAAAATATGGAGTCAACAGGTGACAGTTATGGAAGGAATTTGTTTAAAACACAAGAAGAGAAATGAATGCATGAATCAAGAAATGAGTAAACGAAGAAATGAGCGAATACTGGAATAAATGAATGAGTGCACACATGAAAAAATAAACTCTTGGAAAGGGCTGATGCAGGCTGAAGCTCCCCTGTCTGAGAAAAGAGCTGCAAGGAGAGGGGATGTAGAGAGAAAGGGGGCCCCTCTCTGGGCCTCACGTGGACCAGCACGAGGAGGGTCCAGTTGTGGTGGAAGCCTCTGTGGCCATCGAGAAGGGTGGCCCATCCCGAGCACGCAGCTGTGGGATGACTGCCGAGTCCACCCAGAGGTTCCATGTGAGCTCAGGGAAAGTGTAGGCAGCTTCATGTGGCTTCAGAGAACCCCGACTCTCCCTCCCAGAGCCCCAGGCCCCGTGATTCGGCTGGGCCCTCATGGGAGTAGGAAATTGACCCCAATTTCCTGGAGCCTTGGCCTGGGCCTATGGTGCATTTGGCCTCCAGCCCCTGAAGGGCTGCAGACCTCAGCACTATGTGGGCCAGAGCTGGCTGGAGAGCTCGGTTTGCAAGACAGAATGTATTAGAACTGACTGGAATCTGCTCAGGGAATTTCAGACGGGGGAGGCTCCACCATAGAAGGTGGGAGCATAAAGCTATTGGTCTTGCCACCTCTTGACTCTCTCCCTCCTGCCCAGGTCATCGGGCACTTTCTGCTGCTGACTACATCGGCCTTACAGAGGACGGAATCCTTCTGGACTGGACTTTCAAACAAGGCTCACTTAAGGGCTGGCAGTCCAGGGCGGGCTTCTACAGTGGAGCCCAGATGACATGTCCAGCCCCATCTCCTGCTACACACATGTCCTTCCTGCTAGTCTGTGGTCACCTGTCTCTCCTGCACACTTCTCTTGCTTCCCACCTCCATCCCTTTGCCCCTACTGTGCCCTCTGCACGGCAGACCTTCTAGAGCCTCTCCAGGTGTTCGAATCCTCCTTTGGGAATAGATCTTGGTGCACTCAGGGCTGCCTACCAACAGGTGCGGACCCTCAGAGTAGATCCATGATGTTGAGTCTAGTTTGATCAGAGATGACCTGACATTGAGGACCCAATCTGGGAAGACCAGAGACCACGGGCAGGGGACCCACTGTGTGTACTTGGCTCCAAAATGCACAGTGCTGCATGCCAGGGTAAAAATTCTCACCAGGGGGGCTGAGCATCCCTCAGCAAAGCATTTTGCCTCTCTGTACCTGTGCATCCATCTGTAAAAAAGCATATCGTGCTCTCTCGACCCCTCTTTAGCTACACAGGTCCACAAAGAGCCGCAGGCACATAATATAGTATCAAATACCTAGTATGTGCCAAGTGTTTTACGCACATTTAAAAAATGCTTTTAACAATGTAGTTAGTGTAGAAATTATGTCCTTTTTACAGATCTGGAAACTGAGGCTCAGCTAGGAAGTGAAAGATGAGGTTTTAAATGATATTGGTGTAATGGTTAAGAGTAGGGACTTAAGCCAGCTGCCCAGGTTCAAATCCCATCTCTGCAACTTTCCCACTGTGTAGACTTGGGGAAGTTCCTTAACTTCTCTCTGCCTCAGTTTCCTCAACTGTTAAATAAGCCTGCAGTTCATGGCCTGAGAAAGTCACCACGAGGATTAAGTGAGTTAGGTTACGTGAAGCATTTAGAGCTTAACACACACATCAAGCTCTCTAAGGGTTAGCTGAGCTCTTAACCACCCTGTTGCACTGTCTCGAAGGGAACTTCAGAATCAGCCCCAGCATCACCCACATTTTAGAAACGGCAGCCACCAAAATAGGGAGGCAGCAGGCCCAAGTCATGCAGGTCATCGGGGCCAGAGCCAGACCTCTTCCTGTAAGCCTCTGAGCTTTACTACAATGCAGGGGAGGGGAGGTGGAGAGGGGAGGCTGGGGGATGAGTGGAGAGGGAGACCTAGACTTTTTCTACTTAGCAGAAATGAAAACAAACAAAATAATGGCAGAGAGAAACATGGCAACATCAGAGCCAGGCAGAACCGCAAGGTGCGGTGCAGGATACACACAGTTAAGCTTTGGAGGCAGCCTGACCTAGCAACTGGAGTCTCAGCTCTACCTGGACTTCCTAGTTGTATAAGGTGGGCAAGCCACTTTACGTCACTGAACCACATCTTCCTCATCTTCAAAATGGGACAGTAATGCCAGATGCTGTGGGGCTTAAATAAAGTAGTCTGTGTAAAGCACTTAGCCCGGACTGAAATGTAGTAAATGCTCAATAAATCACAGCTGCTGTTCACTCTTTGCCTATGTGTCCAGTCACTGGCCTTACGTGCATTTTGCTTCCTCCCAGTGAGATACAGGGGTGACACGCAGCTCCAGGAGTAAGGATGGGCAGAAAATGTGGCTTGTGCAATGACTTGGTTAGGAGATCTGAGACTCTGTGTCAGAACTGACTCTGCTGGTATCAATAACTTGCTGTGTGACTTGAGGTACGTTGCTTCCCCTCTCTGGGCTCCAGTGGTCCCATCTATGAGGTAAGTGTGTTGCAGTAGAAAATCTCTGAGGTCTGGTCCACCTCCAACATCACATGGGCCTGGGATGTCTCTGACTTCCTCTGGGAAGCCCTGCGTTCTCGGGCAAGCACGTGACAACCCTGAAACTAGAAGCTGCCCCTGCTCTGGGAGGCATTATACATGTGAGAGCTGTGCTGTGTCCAGAGCGGACCCAGAGAGGGCAGGGCCAGCTGCACACCACTAGTGGCAGAAAGGCTTTTACATCCTTCCTCTGTGATCCGTGCAAGGAACTGGGTGCATTCCTGGCTCCACTCCCCCCCTTCCTCTCTGGCTCCCGCTGTGTTGCTAAAGTCCACCCTTGAGCGCATTACTTCACTCCGAAAGCACCTTTCGCTTCTTCCTCTCCTGCTGCAGCCCCTGTGCGTGCATCTCCCACAGACCCTGTCCCCATCCCAAGACAGCCCACTCCCCTAATCACCTACAAAGCCCCCCCACCGTGCTCCTCGCTGTGTTATCACCTCGGACAGCTCAGGAGCGTCTGAGTTAGATTAAATGCTCAGACAATTAGCACTTCTCTCCAGTCGCCTGGAGATGGAATCCCTGTCCTCTGCCACTCCCTGCCCCGGAAATGTCTGGAGACAGTGGGAAAAGCAGGGCCCTGGAGCCAGTCATCACTACCTACTAACTCATGACCGTGGGCAAGAGCTTGGCTTCACCAGCTTTCTTCCCTTATCTGCAAAATGGGCATATCGCTTCTTTTTCAGAAGTTTATTATGAGGTGTCAAAGTGAGAGAAAATCTGTGGCTTCAGTTTGGCAGTCAGGAAATACTTAAAAAAGAAATTTTTTTTTTAAAGCTGTTATTGTTAAGGTTCTCTGTCTTGGTTTACGGGGATAATAACACTATAAATTCTAGAGCTGAACTGTTCAATATGGTAGCCACTATACAAGTGTGGCTGTTTACATTTAAATTCGAATGATTTAAAATTAAGTAAACTGTAACATTTAGCTGTTCAGTCTCTTAGCTGTATTTCAAGCGGTCCATAGCCACACATGGCTGGAGGCCACCATACTGCACAGCGCAGACATGGAACATTTCCATCATAGCAGAAGGTTCCACAGGGTAGCGCTCATCTAGAGAGTCTATATATTCTACAGGTTTATGTGAGCTAGAGGTCAGGTTCCTACGGTTCCTATTGGTCTCCCCAACCTACATCCTGGCCTCATGCATGATGGTTGACTTTCTGGGGCTAGCTACCGACAGAGGGCTAACTTTCAAGCCACTGCCTTTGTTTCCAGGTTCTGCAAGAGCCCACGTGGCACATCATGATGCATGTGGCATCTCTCCGCTAGAAGTGACCTTAAAGGCAGGCTAGTTCATTTGTGCCTTCCCCAAGGCTGCCATGAACGGTGCCATAGGCTGTACACTCTACAATCCCAGGGGTTACTCATAGACGTGCCTTACTTTCATTACCTCATTTAACCCTCACAAATAACCTATAGGGTAGGTAGTATTATTTCCCCTCCCCCATTTTATGAATGAGCAAACTGAAGCTTAAAGAGTTAAACAACTTGGCCAAGTCCTCCAGCTCGTGAGTGGTGAAGCCAGGATTCACACGCAGCGTCCAGATCCAGCATCATACTGGCTCCCAAGGAATGAATGAAGTCGAGGTTTGATTTGCTAATTTACTTTTAGTGGCCGTGGGAAGGAGTATGTGAACCTCCCCTGCAACAGTCCCTGTCCCCTCTCGCCAGGGTCTGGAACTTGTTTGGAAAGCAAAGAATTCTCGCTCCATACAAGCTGTTTGATTCAAGATGCTCTGTGCCGTACGTTTTCAGCTGTGCTTACAGGCAGCAAGAGGGGATCTGAGGTGAATACTAGATTTGGCTCTCAGGCCCCTGGTCTGAGGGTAGAGGAAATTCATTTGCAGTACAAACTAGAAACGTCAATTGTATTAGGAGCCCATTTGGCATGTGTTCCCTCATTCTTTTAGCCGGCAAGCAATACCCTCTGCTCCTTTGTGTCTGGCCTCTCTGCCAGTTGCCAAACAGAACTGCTTGAGTCGTCTGATAAATTTACATTTTCCTCTCCTTTAAATACAAACTGGCCATGAAAGGCACTTGGCAGGCGGCAGGCAGACTGGGTTTCGGTTTGATAACGTGACCACGGCCAGAATATTATTCGGCTCAGCAGTTCTGGTAACTGTTAGCAACAGTTTTACGTAAGGGAGAGAGAGGGAAGTTGATCGGCTGCGTGAGGCCATGGTAATCTCTGGCCTTTGCTTGTTCTCGGCACTGGCTTCCGCTTCCCTGGCAGCCGGGGATGGGAATGACTCTGGTACACAGACATCCCTGAGTTTTTCAGGTACTGCCTATTGGATTCAGTCTGTCCACAGTTGGGGGGGACCTGGGTTCCGATTCTGACTCAGCCGACACCAGCTATGTCACCTTGGGTGGGTGAGTGACTTTCTCATCTGGAAAATGAGGAGATTGGCCTGGATGTTCACTGCAGCTCTTTCTCATGCCCTGTCACTTCCTGAGCACCTATTAGGTGCTTGGCACTGTCCCAAGTGCTGAAAACACAGGGAAGATTAAAGCTGTGGTCAGGCATTTCAGAACCTGGCGGTGGTGGGTGGGGGAGGTGAAATGAATTGCAATGCAGTGTGGTCGATGCTGTGAATGGGGGGACCCCTAGGAGGGGCATGGAGCCCACAGTGGAAGGGTCAGGAAAAGGTCCTTGGAAGGAGGGCTACCTGGGCTGAATGGTGAAGGATGGTTAGGAGTGAGGTGGCTGGAAAAGGTGACAGGGCCTTTTTCACAGAGAATGCCCAGGTGAAGGGGAGATCCGTCTTCCTGGTGATGGGGGAGACGTCCTGAATGCACAGGTGGGATTTATCCTAAGGGAGATGGGGGTCGCTGGTTCACAAAGGGCTTTGAGCAGGGGAACTGTTACGATCACATTTGTGCTCTAAACCAACCACTCTGGCTGAAATGCGAACAATACACTGGAGAGAGGCAAGGAGAAAGCAGGGAGATGGTCAGGAAGGTGCATGGCGGCCCAGGAGAGTGATGCTGGTGGCCTGAGTCAGGGTGGTGGCATTGGAGCCAGATGAGAACAGTTCAGAAGCTGACTGAGAGAGAGAGAACGGGTAGGACTCGGTGGCTATTTGGACGTGGGAGCGGGAGTGAGACGAGGTGAGGATGCCGCTTTGACACCGTCTGGTATTTGGTAGATGCTAATGAAGACTAAGGACTGACAGGGGGAGAAACTTGCACTGGGGCCCAGTTGGCTGAACCCTGGCCTTGCACACCTGTGAGTCATGGGGCTTGAGGTGTCAACCCTAAATGGTTGGTTCCCTCAGGGTTGGAGCTCCTTGTGGACTTAAGTCTTCTCTGGAGCCAGCTGGCTCATCATTCTCTTTCCCACTCCTGATGCCCTACCCGTCTTAGTGGGTGGAGGGGGGTGTGTGTCTGGAGGAAGGAAAATGCATTCACAGAACTCCTTCTGCAGGGCCGGCAGGAGTGCTGGGCTTTGTCTCAGTTACATGTGGATTGAGATAAAGTTCCATCTCCCTCTGTCCTTCCTTCTTCCATAGTATTCTCAAAACTATACATCTAGTCTAAATATGGCTCCCTTTCTCTTTATGCTTGAGGAGCCAGCTGATGTCTCGAGATAGTGAAAGTCATGATTTTAAGTATTTCAGGGACCAACGTAAGTGGTGATGGTGGTAGAAAGTTGGCCAAACAGCCTTGGTTGTTCCTTAACTCGATCGACTTCATACACTGGGATTCCACACGTGATTTCTTTCCTAGGGGTTCAGTGCTAAGAATCTCTGAACCAGTAAAATGCGGGGATACAGGTAGGACAACGAGGCTCAGAGAGATACAAAGAAAGATGGCGAGAGCCCAGCCCTTACGTCTGCATTGCTGATGTTGCTATTACACGATTCTGGTGGTTCTTTTTTTTTTTTTTTTTTTTTTTTTTTTTTTTTTTTTTTTTTTTTTTTTTTTTTTTTTTTTTTTTTTTTTTTTTTTTTTTTTTTTTTTTTT